CTTAAAAATTAGTTAATCGTAATTAATCGCATTTTGAACTATTGGCAAAATGATGCCATATTTTCCTGTAAATTGTTGTTTGAATGGAAAGATAAACGACAACACAGTGTATGTACTGTGTTTGTTTATTAAACAATAAATCCACATAAAATGGCATTAACATTCTGTCTTTCTGTAGTAGACACTTTTTTCAGCTTGACATTTATCGCTCATAAAGGCTGTGGAAAAACTAGGTACCCCAGTTTTTGAAAGCGGGAGGAGACATGGACACTTCCTGGTGCCATAGTTCAGCTTCAGAGGTGTATTACGCACAGGTTTCGAAAAGACACAGACAAAACAAGCAGAGAATAGTTCTGTGCGTGTGTGGATGGTCTTTCACGTTACGGCAGAACCGTTTGCCGCGTCCACGGAGGATGCAAACTCCCGTTCAGTTCATAACAAACGGGGTGGGACGGTGGCTAGCACTCTCGCCTCTCAGCAAGAAGGTCCTGGGTTTGAATCCTGGTCGGACCAAGGCCTTTCTGAGTGGAGTTTGCATATTCTCCCCGTGTCTGTGTAGGTTTCCTCCGGGTACTCCGGTTTTCCCCTACCACAAAAATTATGTGCAATAGGCCTCCTGTACTGGCGACCCCGCTCCCATCTCTGTGTAGAGTGAGAGACAAATGCCCAAAAAATAACCATTGTAAACCGCTTTGTGGCTCTGGTCTGTGAAAGGCGGTATATAAAGATTACTTCCTACTTACTGAACAAAAACAAGTGCGCCGTGGTCACGTGCCTATTCTTTTTAACTTGAATTCCCAGAGGACCTACCTGCTCTGTCGCCATCACGCATGTGTCCGCGGCATTCTGAGTGTTATTATTGGATGTATGGGTGTTAAAAGCGTACATTTTTTAAACACAATTAATGATTTTTTTTTTATTAGCGAGCGTTAAGGCGATAATTTTGACACGCCCTAATATAAACCATATTAACTACATTTTATCCCTTTAATGGTTTCCTCAACCGTTTGGTAGATCACCTTTTGAGTCATCAACTTGAAGCTTGGAACTGAAATCTCTCTCTTTCCCTCCTTGGGGCATCTCACTTGATTTTAGGGACTTTTTCCATCAAACTGCATCTCGAGGCCTAAAAGGTAAAGACAAACTCAAAATCCAAACGGAACCAGGAACAGAGACAGACATAGACAAACCATTTGTGACATATTTTTCACAGCTTTTTGCAGTGCATTTTCATGGTTCTTACTCAGGACTCGAGCTACATCGTTTTAAATACACTGCAGATATTTTACAGTTTGTTTTGAGAGACCAGTGAGCAGTCGTTACAGAAGTCTAACTAACAAGAGACACACGGATAAGAATCTACAAGTTAGACGCTTTATTTTTGATTCTGGCTGTGTTTTTCAGACGGTAAAAAGTCATTTGTAGTAGTCCATTGCTACTTCTAGATTTCTGACCTGATTTGAAGGTTTTAGGGAGAGAGAGACTGGACCGTAGTTGTGTAATATTTCTAAAACTTCCGTCCACTTTCCTCCGGGCCGTCACTAACATCTCACTTCTTCCACACATTCTTGAGCTCATAATATCCGCCTTGTTCCATCGTGATCATTTCCCCGAGTTTGATTCCTTTATGTTAACAGATGTTGTTGACATCCTCCACACAAGTTCCAATAAAGTATTTTGTTTTTGAGTGGTTCCTGTTGTTCGTACCTCCGCTGACACGCCAGAGCAGACGTGTGCTTTGCGTTAGCTTTAGCGCCTGATTGGAGCCGCCTGTTTCATCCACGGCTCGCGTCAAAAACACCTTTCATTCATTTTTGTAGCATTTGGTTTATCTTTTCTCATGAGATAATGGTGTCTGCAGATGTTGGGCCGGTCTGTGGTCCAGCTGCAAACTTCTATGTGTCAGAACTTGAAGATGGACCTTCACCAGAGAGCCACTTTGTATAGTTGTATTCATATACATGGATAAAGCTTTGATTTTGAATACTTTTTTTGAGCCATACAAAAATATCACATTCTGCACCTTACATAAATGACTTTACCCACACACAAGGGCAACACAAGCATGAAGAAGTAAACAAAAAAGGTACAGCGAGAATCTGTACAACATACAGTATACATAAAAAGCTTGATACATTTGCTGCATATACCTAAAGCAGTAATAATATTGCTAATTCTTGGGCCATGTCCACACATAGCTGGGTATTTTAAAAAAACAAATATTCACCCCTCCTCCTAAAATAATTTGGATCCACATTGCTGTTTTCGAAAAAAAAAAAAATCCTCATCATTAGTCCTCATCAACCTCAACATCTGCGTTTTCAATCACATTATTAACATTCCAAACGTGCGTCCTCCGATGTCCTGCGTTGGGTAAAAACGCTAACGCCGCTACTTCTGTAGCGGCACTTTTACAGTCATAGTAGAAACTCAGAGATTATACGGAGGCGGTGCGCAGACACTGCCAAGCCATTAACAGAAACGACCAGGCTCCTAAAGCAAATTTCACAGCGTTCATACAAGGATCAAAAACGATGTAGTTCTAGCGCCCGGCCAGTAGTGGGCAGAGGAACCCCCAGCAGTATACTCACTTCCTCTGCAAGACGTCAAATAATGCACCAACATCATTCTTTAAGCGAAAATGGAAACTGAACCTAGAGCTTCGCATGGTCTCGTTTGGACGAATGAAGGAGTAGAATTCTCCTCCCTGTTCTCGGCTACTGCGAATGTCCAAATGTACGTGCGGGGAGCAGCAGGAGGTGGGGGTCAGATCAGCAGCAGAGAATTCACATATTTTCCTTCATGCGGGTGTGAAAGAGCGCCCCCTGCTGAGCAGTGTATCTGAGTTGTCCCACTCTAAGGCCGGATCTTAACACTAAAGTTTTCACCTGGAACAGTCTCCGTATGAACAGGGGGTAGCAACCGACATCCAACTAGACACTGCTGCGTTTTACTGCAGCAGTGTCTCCGTATAAATTGGGCCTAACATTTCTCCACTGTGAACAAATAAAGGAATATCTAATTTAACTTATCTCTAAGTCATGCTATACATCCACCAAAACAGACCTCTCTCAGTCTCCACTTCTTCCACTGGTTTTACTGCATGTTTTGACCATTTTTTAACTTCATAAACTTCATTTTTGTCTCCCCAGCGAAACTCCACACTTTTTAAGGGTGCTCATAAATAATAGCTCTCTCAGCCGCGTGTAAACACGCAGAATGTGCTCGTCTCTTATGTAAATTAAACAGATTTTTGGAGGGCACTTCTGACGCCTTTTTACTCCAATCCCTGTCCCGCCATCATGAACTGTTTGGATGTGGAGTGTTTTTCCAACTCTGAGAAAACTACTTATGCCAGAAATTATGTAAGATTATCTCAATCGAGTCAAATTACACTAAAATGTCACTTTGATTAACGTGAGACTTTTATGACCTACTCATGGAAAAAACTGTATTTATCAGGCTCCAAAAGAAATTAGTCTCATAGAAGGGAATCATCCTTCCGAAAAGTGAGTAGTAGTAGTAGTAGTAATGGTAGTAGTAGTAGTGGTAGTAGTAGTAGTTGTGGTAGTGGTTGTGGTGGTAGTAGTGGTAGTCGTCGTAGTGGTGGAAGTAGCAGTAGTAGCAGTAGTAGTAGTAGTAGTAGTAGTAGTAGACTTCCCTATCCACACACACCTCCTCCAGCTCGTCCGGGGGGACCCCAAGGCGTTCCCAGGCCAGCTGAGAGACATAGTCCCTCCAGCGTGTCCTAGGTCTTCCGCGGGGCCTCCTCCCGGTGGGACGTGCCCGGAACACCTCCCCAGGGAGGCGTCCAGGAGGCATCCGGAACAGATGCCCGAGCCACCTCAACTGGTTCCTCTCGACGTGGAGAAGCAGCGGCTCTACTCCGAGCTCCTCCCGTGTGACTGAGCTCCTCACCCTATCTCTAAAGGAGCGCCCAGCCACTCTGTGGAGAAAGCTCATTTCGACCGCTTGTATTCGCGATCTCGTTCTTTCGGTCATTACCCAAAGCTCATGACCATAGGTGAAGGAGGGAACGAAGATTGACCAGTAAATCGAGAGCTTTGCCTTTCGGCTCAGCTCCCTCTTCACCACGACGGTCCGATACAGCGACCGCATCACTGTGCACGCTGCACCGATCCGCCTGTCAATCTCACGCTCCATTCTTCCCTCACTCGTGAACAAGACCCCGAGATACTGGAACTCCTCCACTTGAGGAAGGACCTCTCCACCCACCTGCAGAGGGCAAGGCACCTTTTTCCGGTCGAGCACCATGGCCTCGGATTTGGAGGTGCTGATTCTCATCCCAGCCACTTCACACTCGGCTGCAAACCGTCCCAGTGCATGCTGCAGGTCCTGGTTCGTTGGAGCCAACAGGACAACATCGTCCGCAAACAGCAGAGATGAAATCCTGTGGTCTCCGAACCGGACACCCTCCGACCCCTGGCTGCGCCTAGATATTCTGTCCATAAATACAGTGAACCGAACCGGTGACAAAGGGCAGCCCTGTCGGAGGCCAACATTCACCGGGAACAGGTCCGACTTACTGCCGGCAATGCGAACACAGCTCTGGCTCCGGTCATACAGGGATCGGATGGCCCTCAGCAGAGGACCTCCGACCCCGTACTCCCGGAGAACCCCCCAAAGGACACCCCGGGGAACACAGTCGAACGCCTTCTCCAAATCCACAAAGCACATGTGGACAGGTTTGGCGAACTCCCATGAACCCTCGAGTATCCGATGGAGAGTATAGAGCTGGTCCAGTGTTCCGCGACCGGGACGAAAACCACACTGCTCCTCCTGGATCCGAGATTCGACCATCGGCCGTAACCTCCTCTCCAGTACCTTGGAGTAGACCTTACCGGGGAGGCTGAGGAGTGTGATCCCACGATAATTGGAACACACCCTCCGGTCCCCCTTCTTGTAGAGAGGGACCACCTCCCCGGTCTGCCACTCCATTGGCACTGCCCCCGATCGCCACACGATGCTGCAGAGACGTGTCAACCAAGACAGTCCTACAACATCCAGAGACTTTAGATAATCAGGGCGGATCTCATCCACACCCGGAGCCTTGCCACCATGGAGGCTACCAACCACCTTGGTGACCTGAGCCAGGGAGATGGATGTATCCGCCCCAACATCCTCAGCCTCTGCCTCTGTAACAGAGGACGTGACGGGGGGATTGAGGAGAACCTCAAAGTATTCCTTCCACCGCCCGACAATATCCCCAGTCGAGGTCAGCAGCTCTCCACCCGCACCGTACATGGTGTTGGCAAAGAACTGCTTCCCCCTCCTGAGGCGCCGGATGGTTTGCCAGAATCTCTTCGAGGCCGACCGATAGTCATGCTCCATGGACTCTCCGAACTCCTCCCAGTCCCGGGTTATTGCCTCTGCAACAGCCCGGGCCGCGGCACGCTTGGCCTGCCGGTACTGGACAGCTGCCGGTACTCGACAGCTGCCGGTACTCGACAGCTGCCTCGGGAGTCCCCCGAACCATCATGGCTCGATAGGACTCCTTCTTCAGCCTGACAGCATCCCTTACTGCTGGTGTCCACCACCGGGTTCGGGGGTTGCCGCCGGGACCAGCACCAGAGACCTTGCGACCACAGCTACGAGCCGCCGCATCGGCGATTGAGGCAGAGAACATGGTCCACTCGGACTCCATGTCCCCCTCCTCCACCGGGACCTGGGAGAAACTCTCCCGGAGGTGTGAGTTGAAAGTCTGTCTGACAGGGGGCTCAGCGAGACGTTCCCAGCAGACCCTCACTATACGCTTGGGTCTGCCAGGTCTGACCGGCTTCTTCCCCTGCCAGCGGATCCAACTCACGACCAGGTGATGATCGGTTGACAGCTCCGCCCCTTTCTTTACCCGAGTGTCCGAGACACGCGGTCGTAGGTCAGATGATACGACAACAAAGTCGATCATCGACCTCCGGCCTAGGGTGTCCTGGTGCCACGTGCACTGGTGGACACCCTTGTGCTCGAACATGGTGTTCGTGATGGACAAACTGTGACTGGCACAGAAGTCCAGAAAAACTCCAGAAAAGTGGAGCGTCCAACCCCTCTCAAGGAGTTGGGTTCCAGAGCCCAAGCTGTGTGTGGAGATGAGGCCAACTATCTCTAGTCGGTATCGCTCAACCTCCCCCACGAGCTCGGGCTCCTTCCCCCCCAGTGAGGTGACGTTCCACGTCCCAAGAGCCAGATGTGTGTGCGGACTGGGTCGCCGAGGTCTCCGCCTTCGACTGCCGCCCAGTCCTCTCAGCACCGCGCCACCACGGACCCCTCTGCAGGTGGTGGGTCCACAGGAGGGACTGCCCACGTCATCCCTTCGGGCTGAGCCCGGCCGGGCCCCGTGGGCTGAGGCCCGGCCACCAGGCGCTCGCATACGAGCCCCGACCCCAGGCCTGGCTCCAGGGTGGGGCCCCGGCTGCGCCATGCCGGGCGACGTCACTGATGTCATATTTGTGCTGTCCATGGTGTCTTCTGGACTGCTCTTTGTCTGACTCGTCACCTGAGACCTGTCTGCCATGGGAGACCCTACCAGGGGCATGAAGCCCCAGACAGCATAGCTCCCAGGATCATCCGAGTACTCAAACTCCCCCACCACGTTAAGGTGGCAGTCCATGAAGAAATGCAAAGATAAAATACATTATATAAGATTATTTTCAATTTCACAAAACGAAACCTCACATTTCTTACAACAATTAGCTTAATAATAATAATAGTTATAGCGCTTTTTTGGACACTCAAAGACGCTTTACAGAAAAAAAATAATCAGCAAAAAAATAATAAAAAGCTAAAAATACACAATTAACTTCATATTACAGATAAAAACACATGTACTTTGCTTCCTAAATATTAATAAATATCTATACATTTCAAACTTCCTGTAGTTCTAGAGTGAACCAGTCCCTGAGTCCAAACTCTACTGTACATTATTTATCTCCATCTCGTCTCCGTCAGTGGCTTCAGGCTCGGTTCTGTCCGCGATGCTAATGTTGCTTTACTGTTCTTCTCTAAGTGCTGTGGGCCTGAATGGACCGCACACAATCACACACAGACGCACACAATCGCACACTCTGCCTGCTCTTGTTTACACAGCACCTCACACGGCTCGGAGAGAAGGCCCGTGTCAGCACAAGTCTGGCCTAATGTGTGATCTGCTCCATGTTTTATTCACGCTGAAGCAGAACCACTGTCGGGCAAAGTTGGTTTTCAGTCGATTCTGTAGCATTTTTGAACCGCATTAGTCCGAGGGCACAAGTGGAAATAGGGATATGGAGGTTCATGGACGGGTTGTTATGGAGGTGAATATACACACCCTCTCTAACCACCAACTCTCTATTTAAACATGGTAGTACTTTATATAGGGCGACAGTGGCTCAGTTGGTAGAGCATTGACCTCTGAGCCACCACGAGACCGACCTTACGACTCCCTCTGATGACTGCTGTCGTTGTGTCCTTGGGCAATACACTTAACCCCACTTTGCCTGAAGCCCCCACTGAAAGATCTCAGCTCCTGTGGACTCCGCACCTGCAGGAGGATTAGTGAGGGGCTGGTGCTCTGACTGCCACCCCCCCGACCCAGAAATGGATTAAGGGGAAGAAAATGGATAGATGGATGGATGGAGTACTTTATATACACTTCTTGAAAATAAGTTAAAAACTGCCTAAAATAATTAAAATGAGCTCCGAAGTGTGTGCGAGTCAGATTTGAATGCGTGTGTTGGTGCCGTTTGCGGCTCCCACAGCGGCTGCAGCGTGTGGCGTTCACTGAGGCTTCAGAGACGTGGTGCATGTTATTATAGATCCACGATGTAGTTCAGAGCATCGCTTTGACAGTTTACTTTGTGATCCGCGGTACCGCGGCTGTACCCGTCTGTCTCTGTGTGGTACGTCTCTGTGCATGTTTCTGTCTCTGTGTGGTACACGCGTGTCTGTCTGTGGTACGTCTCTGTGCGCGTATGTACATGCATCTGTCTGTGTGCGTCTGCCCCTGTGTGTGTGTGTGCGTCTGTCTCTGTGTGTGTGCGTGTGTGTGCAGCAGTTCTGTACCTAATTATAGCAAATCTTCACATGAAATAGTACTAAAAACTTCTCATTTTAATAAATACTGTGTTTCAGAAAGTCATGCCTGTGTCAGATCTTTTCTGTGGTGAAATCAGACACTTTGATAATGTGTGTGACGTGGAACACGTCTGCTGCGTCATTTGCATACTGTCCCCTAGATCCAGAGGTGTCCCAATTCTTAGGGAGAATGTTGTGAGTGCACTCACAACTGGGAAGGCACTTTTCTGGTGAGGGCACTCACACCTAAGGGCATGGACGTCGGAACTATTTTCTGAAAGGGGGGGCGGGTTTTTGTTGGGAGAGTCGAGGGAGAGACTCATACTTGGATTGCACTGGATAATAACATACCATCTTAATTGTTAAGAAAAACAAAATAAACAATATATATCAAGCAAGTCACTTATCAAACTGAACTTTTTTTTTTTCAATACGCATTCTTGCGTCAGTCTCTCCGGTGGCTTCATTGTGTTGTGTAGCCCAGTGACGTGCGGTCAGATGAGGCAGGCAAGGCCCTCACCTAAGATCATAGAAAGAAAAGTAATAAAATGGATACAATAATGTTTGGTCACTTTATCAAGTGATTTGTGCTGTGCCTTATTTCATTTATTTATACCTTGAAATCGCAGATTTGACAGAGCGGTGCTGTGAGGCAAGCCTCTCTTGGGAGACGTAAAAAGCAACAGCTCACAGGGAGAGTCCTGTGAGGTGCTATCAAACTGTTTTCTCTGTTTATCACAGTTTACAAAGTTCAAAAATATTTAATTTACAATCAACATGTTTACATTTAAGAGGATGGCTCATAAATTGTGTTTTTGAAGCAAATATGGGTCTTAATCGCGCTCAACCACAGCTTGTAAGTGAGGAAAGCCTCAAGGGGGCGCTTGTGAGCCCAAACTTTGGCTGCATCCAATTCCATCAGAAAGCTCCTTTCTTGTTCTTCTTCTGCTAAGGGCAGCTACAGGTTTGGCTAACATACCTATAATACATTTTAAGATCATTTAAAATGCACTTAGAGTAATGTTTTGCTTCCAATGATGATATGAATCATAAGAAAAGGAGGTGAAGGGTAAGGTTGAATTTAGAAATTGGATTTACCCGGGAGTCGGCTGCAGCAAAACTCGGAGTTTACGGAGGAGACACCCGTTTTTTTTACTTTTTAAAACTCATTAAACTTATTTCCAAATGGAGGATTACATGTCTGTGCTCAAACTATTATCTGGACTTAAACATGAAACTGGTCCTAACTGAAGTGGTCTGTGCTGTTCATTAATACCTAAGGTAAGGCCCATAACACACTTTGTACTTTTTACAAACGTTTGCGTTTTGTATGAGAAAACAATGCAGACATTAAATCATATTCTGCTGTAGCCAAACAAATTGTGTATAAGCCGCTCCTGTTCCTGTAGGTCCTGTTGGTTTATATGATGTATAATCATATGAACACATGATTGATCCCCCACCGCACGTCACTGGTGTAGCCAGGTCTCTAATCTGCGCAAGGCTGAGAAAGAGCGCTCAGAGGCTGCGACAGATATTAGCCAGACAGAGCTTCATAAGCTTCTCCGACAGCATGGAGCGGGTTTTAGGCTGCAAGGAACGCAGGATAGTGATAACTTCTCGCTCCCGGCACACGCGGAGGGGGTGCGGCCGCACCCCCCGCACCCCTAGTTCCGACGTCTATGCCTAAGGGCAAGGGTGAAAATTGGGACGGGGCCTTAGGCTGAACTGCATGTCTCCCAGCTGACCCACATCTCAAGATTCCCACAATGAGCTCGAGAACGTGTAGGAATTAGGAAGTTTTAGCCTGGTCGTACCAAACCATAGTACAAATGAAATTTTGTACTAAGGTCTGGAGGTGCTCCATTGAGCTCCGTTAACAAGTGGGAGGGGTCAACTCCTTTTGCAGATTGAAACGATTGGATCTGAGTTTACCGTGACGTATGTAATGCGCCCGAGTCTGTTGTTAGCATTTAGCATTTAGCCTAACCATCTCCTTTGCCGCTAACAGAGCCCGTGGGGAATAGCGACACAATTTTTTCCAGCGATTACATTTGCTAAACATTACCCTTACTCCGGCTCCAATTTCTTGATAGAACCAGACCGGAATACTTTACTATCGCATTTTTCGCCATTACTAAACTACAACCTTCCTGTTCGACGCAAACTCTTGACGTCACCCATGACTAACTACAACACTCTCCTTCCACACTCTCTGAATGGTTGGTCGAAATTCAACTGATTGTAATCGCTAACACAGGGACCGGACCCAGACGTTACATGCAGTGAAATGATGATTGAACGGAGTGTACAAATGGCTAAGGCCAGGCTAGGAAGTTTAGAAATCTTCCAGACCTGGCCCTGGACACACTGCAAAAAATGCTAAAATTTGGTAAGTAAGTAATGTTTATTTATATAGCGCATTTTACAGATCAAGGTCACCCACAGCTCTTTACAATGTTCAGCGTCAGATATTGTTCCAATCATTCCACACACGGTGACGACGGAAGCAAGTCCAGAACACACTGGACCATCAGCCCCCAATCAACACCATCCATTCACTCTCTCATTTACATTCAGACCTATTGAGCATGTTTTTAGTGGTAGGGGAAACCGGAGTACCCGGAGGAAACCTACGCAGACACATGGAGAACATACAAACTCCACTCAGAAAGGCCCTGTTCCGACCGGGATTCGAACCCAGGACCTTATTGCTGAGGTCACCAAAAGCACTTTACAATGTTCAGAGTTCAGTTAGTTGTTCCATTCTCTCCACACGGTGATGACAGAAGCGAGACAAGAACACACTGGTCCATTAAAGCCTCCGACCAAACACCCTCCATTCACTCATTACATTCAGACCAATTGTACAGGTTTTTAGTGGTAGGGGAAACCGGAGCACCCGGAGGAAACCTACGGGTGAACCTGCAAACTCCACTCAGAAAGGCCCTGTTCCGACCGGGATTCGAACCCAGAACCTTCTCGCTGAGAAGCGACAGCAACTGTTCTTGAAATTAAACTAAATGGTGTTGTCCTGTTGGAAAATCTTGTCAGAAAGAGCTCAAATTAAGATAAAAACCTCTCAATTCCAGCAATAACTACCTCATATTTTATAATTTTTTGGCGGAGTACAGAGGAAGAAAACATATAAATGAATAAAAACAGTTCTCGTAAAATTACATATTTTTATTTCCTTATCAACTTGAGCTTTTGGGAATCCTGACAAAACGGCTCACTCCAAATCTTTTAAAAGCATTCCGGAAAAGTGAAATCATTCATCACTAACAAGAAAAACAATAATTCAAATACTGTAGGACTTTCACAAACTCATGAAGTAGACGTCGAAGTGTGCGGGAGAAACACGTTTTCTTTGGGCCAAAACGTTGTGGTCCGGCTGCCAGTGGGTTTGGCCGGACTCACAATGGCGCAGACCAGACCGAGTCCAGGCCCCTGAACCCGGATCTAAGCGAGACTTCAGATCGCATTAGCGTCAGGAGGAAGCTCTTTGAAACCTGGGCTATTGACTCACGCCCAAAAGGAAGAAAAGATTTGGGTTTA